ACGGTGTTTGTGTGCGTGCGACTAGACGTATGCGTGTAGACTAGCTGCTAACTGCTCATAACTGATTCTATCTCTTTTAGACACAATTTCGGAAAAATTGAATTTGAAAATGAATAATGATCCACAAGAATCCACAACAAAATATGGGACCACCATTGACGCGGTATTTTCCAGATATTTAGAGGATATCAAGTCTCAAACTTATGTTTCTTATTTCAGTTACCATAAACCTATAGTTTCAATGATAAAAATTCCTGAATAACCTGTATTGAGGGATAATAAAAATATTTTAAACAATATTAACTTCTCATTTATTCAATAAAAGAAAAAAATGTGTTTTCTTATCGGTCACCATGCTCAAAAAGTGTAACTTAAATTAATATCAAAGAAAAAAATACTGCATAAATAAAATAAATAAATAATTATAATTGCATAAGTTAATAAAAAATGCTATGCAAAGCTTTACCGCGGCAGTCCCCGAGAGCCACAGTATTTTTTTTTTTTTTTCATAAATCCAATCATGCTATTTAATGATTCCAATCTATTTTGTAAAATATATTTCTCCCTCCTAAGTTTTTTAATTATATTTTTTTTGTAAAGAATCTTCTTCTGGGCAAATGCTAATTTTTTATCAAAACATAACTTTGATTGAATATTTTTCTTGGTAATTGCTTTTCTGAAATCATAATAATGCTTGATTATATAAGAAAATAGTTTATTTGACTTTTAACAAACCTTTTTTTTTTCTTTTTTAAGTTCTCTTTCCCCTTCAGAAGCAGTTAGTGTGGACGAATGCGAGCTTACAAACATTGTGGTTTCAGGTGATGCGTTTATTAAATTTTGATAATTTTTTTTTCTTTTAAAGGGAGTTAAAGAATGAAGTTTCCTCTTGCCTATTTTCATCCCTACAAATGAAATGTTCATAAAATTTATTCCGCCGATTTATTATTGATACACATTATTTAAAGTTTATATGGAAAAACTGACTCATTTCTAAAGCAGGGTACTGGCACAGCTTTCGGTATAGCTCCTGTTACTAATCTATTGCTACCTTTATAATACTGATCCGTTGAAAATGGTCTGTACATAAATATGCGTTGTTACAAAAGCTATTAATGCTCAATCTGAGCACTTGACACAACGCCTGTTAGTTTATGAGATCAGTAGGAAATCTGAAATAAGGGAAAAAGATTTTAAAAAATAATTGCAAATAAAAATCAAAAACATTCTACAAACATGTTTTTTTATTTGTTTGTCCATTTCCCATTTTAAGTTACGTTTATGGAATATAGAATACTTACTTGTGAAACGTCAACCGGGATCCTTTTATGAATTTAATATTACAAATTATACAAGTTCTCGGCATGTTTAGCACTTATTTTATAATAAGTTTATAAACAAGACACCTCGTCCCAATTGTTTAAAAAAACGATCTCTTTAAAAAAGAAGACAAATAAAATGTTATTTGTAACAAATATACGCGTTATTAAACGATCAAAAGAACTTACCTGTGAAGTTCGATCGTAAATATATGAGAAGCGCCTCGTCTGAAGAATCACTTGATAACCGTACAGTACCCCAGTTCTGTGCAAGGTAGCCACAAATTTTTATAGTAAAAAAAATTCGGAACGCTCCATCTCGTTTTCCCGCTCGTGACAGGATTATCTGTCAAATGTCATAGTTTAAAGATGTGGAAGACGCTAAATTCAAAGGGATATGGGTGGGAGGGAAGTGATTCTTCAGACTAAGCGCTTCTCATATAATTACGATCGAACTCCACAGGTAAGTTTGTTTGATCGTTTAATTATATCTCGAAGCGCCTCGTCTTCGAATCATTTCATAACCGTAGATATTTAAAGTAATTTAGAGAATTTAGCGTTCCTCGCCTGATGTATTAAGTTGAATATTGCAATAAACTTAGAAGTTGTTTATTGAAGTGGTTTAATTAAACTGCAAAAAATAACTACATTTCAAACGGAGTTTCTTAACTAAATGAACAATTATTGTTGAGTTTCAGAAACAAAAAAAGTCTTCATGCCTTAACAAATTGTAATAATTATATTACAAAGATTCGTTATTAATGCAAATCTTTCTTTAGAATCGAGTTTGCCAACAGCAGTGAATCATACAATGGCCTATTATAAAATCTTGCAAAGGTATTTGAACCATCCGACCAACCTGCTGTCTTTCGGATAGTTTCTAATAAGACCCCGTTCTTATAAGCTGCCGACGTATAAGCGTGTCTAGTCGAGTAAGAGGTAAATAACTTAGTGTCAATACCTGCTTTCTTTAAGGTACTCCTTATCAATCTACTAACCGTCTCCGTGCTAGCTGTATTATGAGGTTTCTTTGTTGTCAAAAGTAAATAGTCTTGTGCGGTTCCTCTGATTGACGATGTCTTCTCAATGTACTCTAGAAGTACAGAGGCGGCGCATAGGTTAGGGTTTTCTCTATAAAATGGGATTTGGAGGCATGGTTGCCAATTACTCTTGTGACTTGTTTTAATATCATCTCTTATAAATACCTGAATTCTCTCTGAATCAATTAAGATAGAGTCTACTCTAATTAGGACTAAAGTCTGTATTCTATGGGCACATATTAGAGCTAATAAAGTTACCAGTTTCCTAGTTAGTTTTTCTAAAGTTAGATCTTCTATTGGAGACCAGGTTTCTAGTAGGTCTAAGACCTGTTGTGGGTTCCATACAAAATTAAATCTTTTAGAGGGAGGTTTCAAACGAGCTGTGCCCTTCATAAATCTCGATAGCCTGGCATCCTTTCCAATGTCTCCTAGAAGGATGAGGGCCAGATCAGAGCGATATGTATTGAAAGAGCTATAAGAAAGGTTCTTTCTTTCTATGAGATATTGAAGGAACATGATAACTTCTGGTACACCGACTTTTATGTAATTTAATTCCCTTTCTTGACAAAAACCTCACCATGCTTTGAATGCTGAATTGTACTGTTTCTGTGTTGCCTTTGAAATTGAATGTAGTAAGGTCTGGATCCCACACTCTGGTATGTTTTTGTTCAGGAATGCTTCCCTGATAATACTCCCGCAACCAGGGTAATCGGTAATGGGTGTGGTTGGCTGTAAAAAAAAGAAGTAAATCAGCATTATACGGTTTGAGGACCAGTGGTTCAGATATCAGCAGATTATGGAAAATTGGGAACCAACATTGAGTGTCCCAATATGGTACTACAACTATACCAGTTGCTTTGTCATTTGCAATTTTTCTTAAAATCATGTTAAAAGGTGGAAATGCATAGAAGAAACACATAGTCCAGGGTATACTAAAAGCGTAAATTGCTACAGATGCTGGGTCTGGTAGCCAAGACACGTAAATTTTACATTTTTTATTAACCTATGACGCAAACAGGTCAATCTCTGGGTTCCCAAATGAACGACAAATATTTATGAATGCCTTATTTAATTCCCACTCGGTCTCTGTAGGAAGACTACGAGATTCTCGATCAGCAATAGTGTTATCTTGGGATTTAATGCCTTAATTTCGCACCACTGCCAAATAGACTTGGCTAAATTACTCAGCTTAGGATATTTATACTACCCATTTTATTAACATACGTTAGGGCAGTGGTATTGTCAACTCTTAAAAGAATATTACATGAGTGGTAATCTCTAGCAAAACATTTCAATCCATAAAAGACACCTAATAGTTCCAGGTAATGAAATGAAATTAAAATATTAAAAATTTTTTATATCTAGGCTCGACACAGAATAATAGATCAATAACACACATATAAGAACCTGTAGAGAGCAATTTTGATGCTGTTCGAATGTCATCTAACTTAAAATGATTGACATTTACAAACTTGTTTTATTTTTTAAGGTTAAGAATGAACCTAGCTTTTCCATCTTTTTTGGGGACTAAAAAATAGGACGAAAAAAATTGCTTTTTTGAGCTTTTACAACGTCCCCATTTTGTAAAAGTTTATCAATTTCCTCTTGTATCTTCTTGATGTGTAAGTCTAATTGATTTGTAATTAACCTGAGATGGGGTTTTTATAAAAGGGATTCTGTAACCCTTTACCCACTGTAAAATTAGCCGATTATCTGATATCTTTTTCCAATTATGAAAGAAGAATTGAATATTGCCTGCTTTGGTATCATTCAAGAGATTGCTTACCTTTAATACCTGTAGCGACCCTTGTGACGATTCTGCTGAGGGTAGTAATGCCCCTGTTTGTTCCTCAACTCCCTCTGAGTGTGAGGTGGGGCCCTGCGGTTTAAAGAAATATTTTTTAAAGGGATTTGAGGTTTTTTAAAGGTAGTCTTTGATGAGCTATTATTAAATGTGGCTCTCAGTTCTTTGGACGATTTTTCCACTTCTTTTCCATCTTTACAATTCTCTCGGAATTTAGACCCAAATAAGAAATCATTTATCTTGCTCGATTCAGCCACATCCTTTGCGGATTTGCACAATAAAGACATTGTTTGCATACATCGTGAAATTGACATGGAGTGATGCAAATCTGTAAGCAGTTTTCCTGCCTCACACAGAGATAAGAGCTGTGGTTTTTGACTCTCATCATTTTTATAAAGATTTTACGATATCACCTGGCCAAGAGCAGTTAAGGCAGAACCAAGTTGATTTTGATGCTCATTAATAATCATGATTTTTTTTTGGCTGAAGAGTGATTAAGTAGTTGTTTTATCTCTGTGTTAAGTGGAGGGCTCCTTAATTGTATGCAATTGGATGGAAGAGCATACTTTCTTTGAATTGTTTCTCTATCAGTTGCCTTTATTCCCGTTACAAGCAAATTCGTCCAACGTAAGGCTAACTCAGGGTGTAACTCTTCCCCCTTATTCTCCAAGTCATTTGGGTTGGATCCAGTTTCGTCATCGAGACTAAGATCCAACACATCATAAGGATCTAGGCTCAGAGATTTCTGATCGTTATTTTCAGAATCACTAATATTGGATAAAGATGCCGAGCCTCTCGGACTTCGGTCATGTGTTGAGCCTCTGGAGCTTCGAATACGTGTCGAGCCTCTGAGGCTTCGAATACGTATCGAGTCTCTGGAGCTTCGAATACGTGTCGAGCCTCTCGGACTTCGTTCACGCGTGGAGCCACTCTGACTTCGTTCACCCGTGGAGCCACTCGGACTTCGATCATGTGTCGAGTCTCTCGGACTTCGATCATGTGTCGAGCCTCTAAGACTTCGATCACGATTAGAGTTGGACCTACGACTTCTAGTATTACTACGGAAACGTTTTCGAGAACTGCTACAACTTCTATGAGAGCTGGATCTACTATGGGCGACCCGGCGTCGTCTATGTATGGCATATTTCAATGACAAACAGCTCTCAGATCGTAGCTTTTCCAATCTCTCGATTCTGTCAACCAATTCCTTGATAACTATAGTCTTTTTTTATTACCCATATTTAATCTAAAAGGAAAAAATATTATTTTTTTTTACTATAAAAATTTGTGGCTATTTTGCACAGAAGTGGGGTACTGTACGGTTATCAAGTGATTCGAAGACGAGGCGCTTCGAGATATAATTTAAATTCTTCAATCATAAAGCGTTGTGTATTTAACTGGCCAATCATAAAGCGTCGTGTACCTAAGACCAAAGAAGTTACCCCCCTTAGTACTTAACAAACCCATTTGAGTAACACCTCTAGTCTTATATGATCTAAGGTTACGATACCACAGCTGTTGTGACATATTTTAACAATTTTCTTTACTCCAATAAATATGGATCCAGAAACTAGCGACAAGCTAATAATTGTTGTTTGCACAATATGTTACGAGATGCTTACTTGGAAAATCATGAAAGTCCCGATTATAATTTTAATCCAGATCAAGAAAAGTCATATTATATTACAGCTTTTGCAGGATGTGGAGGATTTGCACAGACAGAAGGCTTTGCAGTGAGGGATCAATATATGAATTATTTTAACAATGAGGGAGAAGTTAATTGTCAAAAATGTCGCTTCAGTAGAACAAGTAGTACAATTAACTAAATGTTTTTAACAGTGGCGTGCCATCAGGAGAGCTTCAGATAGTATTAGTCTCATTATTGTAAAATTCAGTAAATGAAAAAATAATGTTATTACTTTATTTATTTATTTTTAAAGTATTATCTAACAAAAATGTGGCTCTGCGGCCTACAAACGTTTTGCACCCCTGACTTAGGCCCGGCACGCCACTAGTTTTTAATACTAACTAAATTTTATATATAAATTATAAAACTACTTGCTGTTTTTTCTGCATGCAAAGCTATTTTATTTTAAATAGAATCAGAATGTTCAGCATCATAAATGGCGGCATACTTTATCTTCCTCAATTAACAAACGCGCAACCGACGATGGCTAGACTGCTTCTGAAGCAGTCAAGAAAGGAACGGCCGCCGCTGGATGTAGAACAGCGTCGGTGAGACGTTTAAACGAAAACAGCGCTATGTAAAGTGCATTAACGCAGAGCGTTGCCGACAGCGATTACCGAGGGAGGTTACCGCTGAACGCACAAGCGAAACCTTACCTCACCACGGCTGGTCGGTCGGTCCTGTAATAACCACTCCGACGAAATAAATCGCAACATGTTCTATATCGATCCAAACTAAACAATGCATATCCAAAAGATAGCTATCCGTATTCAGTAAGATCTACATCTATCAACACCGGTATCGGATACCTGTCCGAGGATCCGTATCCATCCGGACCTACCCATCTCTAGTTGGCAACTCTCTAGGTTCTTTCATTCGTCCCACTGGTGTAGGAATTAACTACACCAACTGCCACTAGACCTTTCGTTCGGCCCAGTGTAAAATCCACTTACTTTAGAATTACCTTTCGTTCGTTGGTGTGGTGTCCACTGGTGGACACTTTTTCCACCAGCTGTTTAGCAGGTATAAAGTACACCGGAAATGCGCGTAATAGTCCTTTTAGACGGTCATATCAGTTCTCGAATCAGTTTGTTATGTCAGTTCAGTTGTGACTTTATTTGTGGAAGCGCTGTCTTTTTAGACGATCAGTTTAAGTTTTCATTTCCGTGCACATCAGTGATGGATGAAGATTCCCTAATTGCTGTCGCTTTGTGCTTATCACTAAAGAAACCACGAAAGACAAGAACTAAATGGAGCAAAAACTGGCTCCTAAAAAGAAAATCATTGTCTCATGTAAAATTAATGAAGGAACTTCATTTTGAACCTTGCGATTGGTCAAACTACTTACGATTGAGCGAGGATGCATATTGAGAATTGCTGTACTTAGTGACACCAATTATAAAAAAGAGCGTCACCAACATGAGAGAAGCTATATCACCACACGAGAGGTTAAGTGCAACGCTTAGATTTTTGGCAACTGGGAGTACTTTTCAAAGTCTAAGATTTTCTACTGTAATATCAGCGCCCAGTTTAGGTGTCATAATACCTGAAACTTGTAAAGCCATAATAAAAGTACTAGGTGATTACATAAAGGTAAAAGTGCCATATCGAAAATAAAAAGAACGATTTAAACAAAACATTCTTTATTTGAGCCGTTCATTTTGAAAGTCATTTAAGTCCATTTATCTTTAATTTGAAATACTTAAGGTTTTGCGTCCCTAGTATAATGGGATTCAAATTTCGGGAAACTGTTAATATGGTTTTGAACAATCATATTTGCTTCATCACATATTTTTCTCGACGATCCAAGCAAACGCCCACGTAAATCGTTGCCAACGTTTTTAGATTTTAATACACGTTTCAATCGTCCTTCGCTTATTTGAAAAGTATCTAAAAGAATTTTTTACAAACAGCAACTTTGCCTGTTTTATAATTTAACCAATACGTAAAACTCTCATTTCTACATGAACCTTTTCCGTTTCTCTTACGTCTTCTTTTTACAACACTGCGTCCGGTCGCTTCATATTGCAATATATTTTGCTTATTAAAGTCTCCTAAGTTCCAAAACATTTCGAAAATACGTTTTCTTTCTGTTTCATTTAAATTTTTCAAGCAGTCTTTTCGGCATTGGCAATCTTCATTTTGAAAAACTTTGGCAGGAATAATTTTTTTCCGATTGTGTATCGTATCTTTTCCCTGAATTCCGTTTAATTTTACGAATTTTCTGAATATAAGTACCACTTCTGTGTTTTCTGAATCCTTCTTTGAAGGTGCTGTTTTGTAAATTCTCATTCTCAATTACTTCCTCTTCCTCTGTTAAAGAATGAACTTCTAAAATTCTCCTTCTTTTTTTAAATCTGTTGTATGAGTTTAATTCCTCTGTTACGCTCTGCCCTTACTTATGAAAGGGGCCAAGCGTAATTTGTGCTAGCTCGTTAATTTTTTTGATTTCCGGAGAGTAGGGTCGGGTCTTAGTCAGAACTTAATAAAACGCATTCTCGTCTGACAGCTATTTAATTTTTGAGGTTAGATGAAATAAAAAAAAATATGTCAATAAAAAAATATGGGGAAAAATATGAAATTATCACGCCGATATATCGGTAATTATATATATTATAATAGTGAGTATATGTAAAAAGAGGTCCCCGAATAGTACTATCCGTTACAAACCCGTACTTATACCACGTAAGTATTAATCTGACTCTAATAACAAAATATGTTTTCGTAACTATAAAAATCTACCGAAATATCTCAAGTCTATTCATTAGCTATTTTATACAGTAAGTATTAGCTTGTCCTACGGAATTAATATTAAAATATTTGTAGGTGGTTCCTAAAACGGTATGTGGCCGGTTTGAGGTTATGTCGGAACCTCGTGGCAGATGGGGGCCTTTAATGTAAAGGAATGGTCTTACTTGTGATATCGATGGTCAGTCGTCTGGTGCAGCTTGCTATACTTTCGGTCCCAAGCAAGGTTTCACAAGGGTAAGCGGCAAATAATCCTTAATTAGTAAGGGGGGTTGATCCTGGGGTAATCAGTCTTGAAAAAATCCTTCCGTCTTGCCTGTAGAATACGAACTGGTACTAGCAAGTTAAGCAGGAGGTGCGGTAGGTTAGCTATAAGCGATAGCGAAGATAGCTTGAAGGAGAAGGAAGAGCCGTAAAGTAGTAGAAGGTGACTCGGAAAGTTCCCAGATAATTAAAAGGAGGTCTGGAGCTGTTGGGCGACCTTTTTAGTTGTAAATTCAGTCAGTAAATATATTTAAATCCACCAAAAAGGTGATTCAAACCACAACGATTTATTTGGTATATTTTACTAACTAATTTAATCGTCTTTAGCTCAACGTTCAGATCCTACAAACATTAGAACATATGGCACATGTTACCACAAAGCTGAGCTTATAAAAACTGACTCCAGGAAGTTTCCCAAGATGGTAGAAAATCCATGTAAGTCAATAAAAGGTCTTTAATAGTCAAGGTTAACAGGACAAAGTCTGGTAAGTGTGTGGCCCTCATTGTTAAAAGAAGAATTTGACATGTGTGGATGTCATAAAATAAATGTAAACAAATAATAACATGTACTTAAATATCAGATATTTAAAAGAGTTATGTGTACTATTTTGTGTAGTAAAATACAGTTCTTTGGACTTTAAAGTATTCACTAGATGTAATCAGGCTGACAAATATAAGACAAAAGGTTAGAATGGGTTTTAATGTAAAATAAAATACTAAATTAGGATCCTTACGATTCAAGTTTAGAATTTAGTAAATCGATCGATTATATCCCCAGTAGGAGTAAATAAATAGGGAAAATGTAGGACACATTATATATAAAAAGAGAATAGAGCTAAAATAGAATAATGTAGAATAGATTAGGTATATAATAGGGTAGATTAGTAATTAGAGTAGCTTAGGGTAAGTTAGAATAGAGTATAAATAGAATAGTGTACATAGTTAAGCTTAGAATAATTTAGGATAGCGTAGAATAGGTTAGAAGTAGAGTAGCGTAAATAGTTAAGCGTAAAATAGTGATAGAATAGATTATGATAGAATAGTTTAGTTTAGGATATATTAAGATAGGATAGTTTAGGATAGAATAGTTTAGTTTAGGATAGAATAGTTTAGTTTAGGATAAAATAATATATATTAGGCTAGAATTAGATATAAATTTAGTAGAATCAACAACAAAAATAAAAAACTATTTATTGTTTACACACTTTGCTGTTTTGGCTAAAACTATTGTAGATAGAATTTTTGACCCGTAACACCTCTTCACTTTCAGAAGCAAGAAATCTTGTTATTTTATCCTTTCCCATGGGTTTAATAATTTCTTTAAATTAAATATTATTTTTTAAATTTCAATTTAATATCAAAACGTAATTTAAATTACCTTCATCACTGCTTTCAACATTTTGGGCCGCACTTTTTGACATCGTCAATAAAAAGTGGACTTAGG